GTCAACTTACAGTACTTTTAGGGAATACTTTGATGATAGTTTGTAGACTATTGAGAAAGGCATCATCTCCCTGGTGTCGTTTTACTTCAGACAACCTATTTTAGTGGACTGAGTTATTCTCCGAGCTAGGGTATGGTTGAACAAATGTTTTAGCGTCATGCTAGACATCATTGTCAAAGTAGACCTTGGGGTGCACGAAGAGCGATATATCTATTTATTACATTATTCTAACTCGTCCATGACCAACAGGGATAAGAAATTCACTATTCAAGTTTAAACAATTATCACATGCTTCAAGGCAGATCAATCTCATAGAACTCAGTAGAGTCATCAGCAGTAAGTATTCATATACAATTAAATGAGGTTCGCACTGATGTCAATGTCAAGCGTGGTACTGAAAATTTCTTTGACCAAACATTTAGCTGAAAAGACAGTTTAGTTTCAGCGACAAGGTATTTCGTTAAATTCCCAATAGGATTTACAGTTACATTTGGAAATTTCTCAACGTTAGCATTCGATACCACTACGGTTTGTAGGAATTTTGGGTACATAAACTGCATGATAAACAGGTAGGCGATAATGATAGTGATAAAGTCAGGAAAGAGTTCATATAATCTCAGTAGTTAGTCACTAGCAAAGTGTCAGTTGACTGCGTGTGTAGGTGAAGAGCGGATCAAATTGTTGTCTCATTCCAACTACATAATAAAACTGGTGGCGCTGATTGGTTTCAAAGCAGTTTCCACTACAGACTGACATCAACTGCAGAACCAGTGAAGAATTTCACAGCACCAGATAAATTATCAATAAATCATCAAATCAAACTCAGAATAAGGAGTTTAAATTAGGACGGAGTACAATGATAAGAGTAGGAACAAAGATAAGACTGAAACTTGTGTGACTGATGGGAAAGGAAGTTATTTTTAATTTTATATGGGTTGAAAATGAAGGCCATAGAACAAAAGGAACTAAACAAACACCTTCCATACGCATAAATTAACTTTAAAATTGTTTAACTGCCATGATCTGTGCTGTCCTTTGCAGTCGGTGGTACACAAACTTAGAATGCTTTTATTTCACTTGTACAAAATTGTAAAACTGGAGGTTTTGTTGATCTTGTGTTCAGTATCTGCTATGTCATTGGTGACTAACTTTGAGAGATGATTCTTGAAGTTCCAGTGAGTTGTGACCAGTGAGGCAAACTTGGTGGCTGTGAAGACAAATACCTACCAATTATATTGGGTAATGGTCGCTCTATGTCGTGAACTGACAGAAGTTGGAAATATAGACCATTTGATTCTGACCAAGCTGCTCAATAGTAACGTGATGGCCACGGAACCTAAAGGTTTTAGGTCCGATCCCTGGTGGGTGGGCTCGTAGGTGCGCACTACTGAAGAGTCCTGTACCGTCCAGTGATCCCAGGTTTCCAATGTTCCTCCAACTGATGTCAGTCTACGATGAATACCAACTTGAAAAATATTTGCAAATATTGAGCTGTCGAAGCCTAGCCACAAAGCGAGGATGGACAAGCTGAGTGGTTCTACCTCTGTATCTATCTCTCCAGGAGCAGCCAAGTTTTTGAATGCACATAGGAGTGGTTTGCCTGCATAGACTTGCGTCTCTACCTTCAGTCGTTCGATCTTCAGAATGTTCATTCTTTCACACAACTTTGTCTACTATGATACCACCCTTTTTCTATCTTGTTCTTCGTATGCTACTGTGAAGTGTGGCAACTTAAACTGATGCAACTGTGTGTTACGTTCTACCCTGGTTCTGTCTGTCTGTCTCATTTATTAGAGACATACTTGTTTTATGAAAGTGCCAGATATCATTGAAACGATTCCATCTATTTTGGAACCGTATTTGTCTTATGAGTTTGAAGATTAGATAAGCTGTATACAGTTTTATGTTTATATGAAACTATAAGATCATACTTTCTAAACTTTGGATTAGGGACTGAAATAAGTAATGAATAAAACACGAAAGAGTTCAACATTAAAGCTTTTTGATACTGACGGAGATAATAACTAAGCCATTTCTGATCCCATAGCTTGTATTGTAGCCTACTTTGTGACTACCAGTGGAACCCAGGACTTGCGTTTCGTTCTATGTACGACTCGTCAACTGGACTTAACTGTATCCAAGTGAGTGACAGTCTCCTCATAAGAACTGCAACCCAGCACCCACCGCTTCAAATCCTACCGCGGTTTCAACGGTAGAAGACTACAAGTTATGATATCAAAACTATATTCATAGTACGAGAACTTGCTAACGTGACTCACTAGCCTATTGCACAACGCTTTGATATTTGAAACAATGAGAGCTGCGTTTAAGTCTCAATGAGAACACCACCACTGACTCGGATACAGATACACTCGGCTGACGAGTCCAAGTTATTTCCATGTAGTATTTCTTCATACACCATAACTGTGATATATCTGTTGACTTTAAAACCATAATCTAAACCAAACAATACTTCGAATGCATGAAAAACATTCATAATGATTTAGTCTGACTTTTCAAATTATTAAACATTTCTATTCCTAATGGGTGATGAAGATTGAGGATGAAATGAAAATTTAGACTATGGTAACATTCGAACCAGTGACCTCCAGATTATCATTTCGCTGACAATCATCATCAGTATCAATACAAGTCTGTTGAGTCACGGCTATCTCACTTAGATAGTCATTCACAAACTGGTAATTAACAACTGATGAGATAGTCAATTACATTCCTCTATTTTATGGAAAAGTACCATTCCATGGAAAATATTCAAGCTTGATTCGTCTATTAAATAGTTTTCAGAGTGGCCCTAGCATCTGCAAAGAAAACCAATAAAGGCTCTCGACATTATCAAAATCTAACTTCCTAGTTCAACTAACGAAAACTGATTCCCTATTCCAACAGTTATTAGAGTGGCCTATAAGTTCCGGCGGCAATGACATATAATTATTATTTGTCCCTTGGATTCCCAGTAAAACATAGGGCTTCAGTAGCACGCCTCTATCTCACTCCGTCCTCTGCAGTCTTTTGAACCTCGCTCCACGACTGCCCACAAACTTTCGCTTCTTCCTCATATGATCTCCTCCATGTCACCTTCGCCTCGGATGCCCAACTCGTCGTTTCCCATTCGGGTTCCACTCGAGGCCATGGCCTGATCTGTCGCGTGATGTCTTCGAATGGTCTTCTCAGTGTATGCCAAATCCAATCCATCTCCACTTTCTTCTACATATTTGTTGGACGATAGGTTGTTGGTTGGTTCGTTATCAGCTAGCCAGAGTTCCTTGTTGTTTATCCTTATTGTTAAGGCCATCTATCTGATCTTCAGTATGGAGTGAGCGTAGGCAGCAGGTATTGATGAATGTCTGTAGTTTGTTGGAAATGCTTTCCGTAAGGCGCCAAGTTTTCTGAACCACATAGAAGCACTGACTTGACTGATATTGGTGTTGAATATCCGGATATTGTTCACGTTCTATACTGAGTGGAGTGCAGTAGATCTGCACACTGGTTTCAGTTTAATAAAGGAAGGCCTGTCTTTCTGTCTTTCCGATCCTGACTTAGACGTCCTCATCTGTGCCAGTGCCGTCGCCTGTAGTTGAGACGATGCTCCCTAGATAGGTGAAAGAGACAACTTCGTTTAGATTTCTCCTGTTGATGATGGTTGATGCTCGTTGTTGTTGGTTGAGTATCTCCATCACCTCCATCACCTCTTCTCTACGTTCACCTGAAGGAGGTCCTGTCTTCGCTACCCTGACTCTTCTGTCAACTTGTTAGTTTTCGCCTGTAGACCTTCGAGTTTGTGGGACAAGACATTAGACATAAATCATCATGGGCAGAATTCAAATCTTCTTCTGGGGTCTGTTCATCGGTCAAGCATAGTATACCCCTTTTCTCGCTCCTCACAGTTGTCTGTTGCATGATCCAGTCGACCACAATAAGGAAGATCATTGGTGGTGATAGTAGGCAGTCTTCTTTTGTCTTACTCCTGTCTTCACTTCAAAGGGATCACTGAGCTTCCCATTGTGAGTCACTTAGCATGTAGCATCGTATAGCATATTGCTGTTGAATGAGGTTGATGAAGGTTTGTGGTATTATTTTGTGTTGAAGGAACTGCCAAATTACTCCTAGGTCGACGCTGTCGAAGGCCTTTTCAAAGTCGATGAAGTTGAGATAAAGATCCAGTTGACTACCATTCTATTCTCTGGTCTACGATGATGCGTAACGTATCATCGCAATTCGATCGCTACATGATTTGTTCTTCCTGAAGCCAGCCAGTCTGTTCCCGTCATAATTTTGTATCCAGAGCATCTTTTAGTTTCTCCAGGATGATGCAGCTTAATATTTTGCTTGGGGTGAACAGCAGCATGTTTCCTCGTCAGTTCTTGCAAAGGCTTAAGTCTCCCTTCTTTGGGAGTTTGACAAGGCAGCCCTTCTTTCAATCAACAGGTAGGTACCTTTCCTTCCTTCCAGACCTTCTGCAGTAGTAGTGTGAGCATGTTGTCTCTGTTGTCTCTGCGTCTATTTTCAGTGCTTCTGGTAGGATTTCATCTGGTGCTGCTTCTTTCCCGTATCTCAGCAGTTTTGTGCCATTCAGATCTGCTTTTATCGGAGGGCCTGTGTTCACTTGTCGTTCTGCCGTTGCTGATGGTATATACGCTTGTAATATTTAAGTTGTCATCATTGTTCATACATTAATTTTCTTATAATCTATGTGAGTGCTAGGGTAAAATGACACACTTACTACCAATATACAACTCATCTATCATCTTGATATCACAGCTAACTACTTCACTGTAATATATTAGTAGTATCATGTATGTATGAACTTATGCCATCCTTACTTTTTTAAATATTCATCTATTGACTAATTTTATCGATCTATTCAGTATCTTTTAATAATTAGATTATTCTTATTATTACTCACGTATATATGTGAGGTAGATATTTTATGCTATTTACAACATTCACTGGCCTAAGAAGGTGTTATTTTGAGCACATCTATGGGGAAAAAAGATACAATTAGAAATAGTTATAATAAGAGCGATAATAAGGATAAAGATCAAAACAGTGATTCAGTATTCAATGACGAAATTATTGAAAAGCGCGCAACAAATGGCAAAAATTTAAACTTGACTAATTTAAACTATTGCAATGATGAAACAACTTGTGCAAATATTAATGTAGACAAGATACGTATGGATAAATTAACAAAGACGACAACAACAGGAACATTGAATCTTCATTCAAACAAACATAATTCTCAAAAAATTGACTTAACAATGATACATAAAAACAATAACAGTAGTTATTATAGTACTGGTTGTACTACTGATGATAATACAAGTTTGAAATTACAAACGGAAGTAGATGTAAAGAATGATTCGACAAAGCTTCAGACTTCAAATAATAATGATAATAATAATAATAATAACAATAATGGTAATATCAGGAGTGGAGGAAGGGAGAAATTATTAGATTGGTTAAAGTTGAGTCAAGCTAAACGTGATGAAAATAATCGACAAGTATTTACAAGATGGGTCGATAAAACTGACAGTTTAAGTCAGTTGAATTCATTACAATCAAGTAATGTACTGCTTAATATGACCTGTAATAATAATAATGATAATAATAATAATAATAATAATAATAATAATAATAATAATAATAATAATAATAGTGTTTTAAATCCACCTATGCTTGAAGTAAATGGCAATAATATTGATACGTGTAATAATTCTTTTCACTCATCAATCATACCAAATTTAATGACACCAACATTTATCATTGATAGTCGTTTTAATGACTCAGTTCTACCGATGGTAACAATAACACCAAAAATGAATACAGTGTATCAGTCAATATATACACCTACGTGTATATCATCTCTAGCAGTGAGTACATATTTACAAAATGTTATCAATCATAAATACACTACTGTATCAAATAATTTATCTTTTGTACCAATGATGAAATCCAATTTACTGATACCTACAACACCTTTGAATACGATTAATAATTTTTCAGATGTTCCTCATAGTAGTATACTACCAGCACCAATGATAAAGTCAACACATAACTTTAATAGAGGTAGTTTAGTACTTCATAGTAATAATAATGGAATGAATACTTGGTATACAATGATCAATAATAATGGTAATAGCATAAATTATACCACAAGCGATAAGACAGACACCTCAAGCAAGTTGATGACGACGGTAACAACAGTTACATCTACGATAACTGAAGAATGCGACAGTGTTAATGGAAGTAACAATGAAGCTTTAAATTTTGCCACTTTATCGAATATAACACCTGTACAGAAGTTAACAATACTTGAAACACCTTATACTATTACAACATCTACAAATTATAATGATAATAATAAAGTTAATAGTCAATTTATACCTTGTCATTATTATTTACCTATTCCACCGTATACAAATGATATTCCTGACTCGAATCTTTTATACGGTTATTATTATTATTATTATCAATAATATCCGAACTTGTTTTCGTCTACAAAAGCACCTACCGTCAATATTATAAGTAGTATTGATGGTGCGGTCGAACGAAACAATAATCAACAACCTAAACAATTGTTAATACAGTCACAATCCGTCTATACTAATCCCGTAGTAAGTGGAAATGGCCCCATCAATGTGAATGATAGTGATAATACCATTATTAGTGGTAGTAATAATAATACTTTGTTATCCTCACCATCAGTATCATCACTAATTTAACTAATCCCAACTACCACAACAACAACAACAACAACTACTACTACTACTACTACTACTACTACTACTACTACTACTACTACTACTAATGATGATGATGATGATGATGATGATGATGATGATGATAATAATAATAATAATAATAATAATAATAATAATAATAATAATAATAATAATAGCTCAGTCACACAATCATCAGCTCAATCGTGTTAAGTTCATGGAAATTTTATCAGTATGTCTACAATACAACCTACACCAGAATTAATGAAATTTGCACAATTTCAATCGAAAATGGAGGTGACTAGAAGTAATAATAATAATAATAATAATAATAACAGTAATGATAGTTCAAATGAAGGTACACTGTCATGAAGTTCAGATGTAACATCGAAGTCAACGTATTTGAAGTTACAACAACATTCATGCAATATATCTACTGGTATTGCTGACAAGAATAATTTACACGTTAGTAGCGATATATCCTTTAATAATATTGTTGCTAATAATAGTTGCGATAATTTTCAAGACATAATTCTTATCAGATTATACGATTGCTTGAACTGATTAGAATGAAATAAAATGTTTGTTTAGATGAAACAATAACAAATAATAATTCATTGATGAATCAGAGTTGAATTCAACTCGTAGCATAAAATTCTTTTTTACTACATTAAAACAACAGAATATATTCAGACATTTAAAATTTAATACATGTAAATAACTAACTTAACAAAAGATAACATCAATTCGACAATTCTGAATGTGTATTCATTTTCTTTTATAAATGATTGTGAATCAATTTATGCAAAGCGTGGATAAACAAATTAACATATAATAAGACTTTATTGTAAGAAACAAATAACTTACGTGTCAGATACCGTAAAGATGTGAGATAATTCGTCTATACTGTAGCAGTTTATTCATTATTGTCTAATTTATGATCTAATAGGGTTTTATTATTACTGTGGCTTATTCTAAACACTTTTGTCCATTCTGTTCGAGTGTGAATATTGAAACCATTTAACATTCGTAGAATATATACTCATTCACAGAGAGCGTGGGATAGATGGACTTGTATTCATTGTAAACAATCTAAGGTATTTCCAGAGATAACTGTAAGATTATTTTATCTTTTAGTAAATTTCGATTACTTCCCCTAACATTACTTATTATTACTATAATTATTACTACTACTTCGAATAATATTCCCTTGCTTTCTCTACTGAAGGAAAGAACTTTGATAATGGATAAATATTCCAATCTTAATTTATTACCTTCTTATTCAAAGGTGTAAATATTTTAAAATGAACCATTTTTTTTTGAAAATGAAACAGCTACTTGTCATATACAATGAAAACATAACTATGAAAATGAAAGTACATAATCATCAAAAGAATTCAACCAATCAAGATGAAAGTTAGCTGTGTTTTCTTTTTTGCTGATTAGGTTTTTGGAAGATAATCCTATAAGAATGCAGAAATTTCTGTTTTCATAGGTTTTGTATCGAAGAACCACTTAGCTGGATAACTGACATAAATATTGATTTCAAATGGAAACCGCTATGAATCTGTGAGAGGGAGAGATAAAAGGACCGTGAAAGAAGTATCTTTTTAAATTTCAGGGTCGACTATTGACAAGTTTCACACATTACGACGAAACATCTATCCAATGCTATAAGGTTTTCAATAGTTCTCCAACACTACCTTGATACTGAAGCAGGTCTCTGGTCGAGCTATATGTCCACAGCTGACCAACTGTTCAAGAATTGAACTGTTAGATGATATAAATTCTCCCCTTGATAACCATTTAGGATGGGGCTCAGAGATACGTTTGGAAAGTGCGCACTTTGTGCGACCTTAATAACTAGCTCCACAGGAGCAAGTAAATTTGTAGACAAACGTCGAGGTGACCAAAAGCGGTCACTTGTCCTTAACGCACTTCAGAACCATTTGCTGACTGAAGAAGCTGACCTGCAACTTCGCAGAGAAGAATGTCCTCTTCAGCGATCTGGACAGCCGATTCTTCATTATCTCTGCTGATGTATCGCCTTTGAAACCAACTTTCATAAACAAGGTCTTCTTAGAAACTATGAGTACTTGCTCCGTATTCTACCTCAAAAATAAAATCCTCACTAACCTAAAAACAGATGACACTTCCCTTTGATATTCTTATTATTTGTCCCTTGGATTCCCAGTAAAACATAGGGCTTCAGTAGCACGCCTCTATCTCACTCCGTCCTCTGCAGTCTTTTGAACCTCGCTCCACGACTGCCCACAAACTTTCGCTTCTTCCTCATATGATCTCCTCCATGTCACCTTCGCCTCGGATGCCCAACTCGTCGTTTCCCATTCGGGTTCCACTCGAGGCCATGGCCTGATCTGTCGCGTGATGTCTTCGAATGGTCTTCTCAGTGTATGCCAAATCCAATCCATCTCCACTTTCTTCTACATATTTGTTGGACGATAGGTTGTTGGTTGGTTCGTTATCAGCTAGCCAGAGTTCCTTGTTGTTTATCCTTATTGTTAAGGCCATCTATCTGATCTTCAGTATGGAGTGAGCGTAGGCAGCAGGTATTGATGAATGTCTGTAGTTTGTTGGAAATGCTTTCCGTAAGGCGCCAAGTTTCTGAACCACATAGAAGCACTGACTTGACTGATATTGGTGTTGAATATCCGGATATTGTTCACGTTCTATACTGAGTGGAGTGCAGTAGATCTGCACACTGGTTTCAGTTTAATAAAGGAAGGCCTGTCTTTCTGTCTTTCCGATCCTGACTTAGACGTCCTCATCTGTGCCAGTGCCGTCGCCTGTAGTTGAGACGATGCTCCCTAGATAGGTGAAAGAGACAACTTCGTTTAGATTTCTCCTGTTGATGATGGTTGATGCTCGTTGTTGTTGGTTGAGTATCTCCATCACCTCCATCACCTCTTCTCTACGTTCACCTGAAGGAGGTCCTGTCTTCGCTACCCTGACTCTTCTGTCAACTTGTTAGTTTTCGCCTGTAGACCTTCGAGTTTGTGGGACAAGACATTAGACATAAATCATCATGGGCAGAATTCAAATCTTCTTCTGGGGTCTGTTCATCGGTCAAGCATAGTATACCCCTTTTCTCGCTCCTCACAGTTGTCTGTTGCATGATCCAGTCGACCACAATAAGGAAGATCATTGGTGGTGATAGTAGGCAGTCTTCTTTTGTCTTACTCCTGTCTTCACTTCAAAGGGATCACTGAGCTTCCCATTGTGAGTCACTTAGCATGTAGCATCGTATAGCATATTGCTGTTGAATGAGGTTGATGAAGGTTTGTGGTATTATTTTGTGTTGAAGGAACTGCCAAATTACTCCTAGGTCGACGCTGTCGAAGGCCTTTTCAAAGTCGATGAAGTTGAGATAAAGATCCAGTTGACTACCATTCTATTCTCTGGTCTACGATGACGCGTAGCTTTGCAGGCTTATGCGTATTATGTAATACATAGATCTTCTGGTGAATGAATGACTCATACATTATTCAGCTTAAACCTTCTGGTTGTTATTTGCTACTTTATACATTTCGTGATCACTTTAGAAAACTTTAGACATTTGAATCTGATAGTTACAGCTACTTATCTGAGATTTTATGATTCACTATATCAAAATGATATAGGCTGTAGTTACATGGTTGAATACGCTAGTAGATTATTCTTATAGACCAATGACTATTTTCCTGATCCCTTATCTATTTCCCACCTGTATATATTGTTCCGAAAAGCTATCGCTTTTCTTATTACCCATAATACTGCTATGATCCACCCTTGCTCAGACAGTGGGAAAATTCGGATGTAACACGAAGCATACACAGGGATGTTGTACTGACATTAAAACCAACAACTTGGAAACCAGCAAGAAATAAACACAATATTCTGTGTCAGTACAGATAAACAAGCGTTACATTGTAAGTTCAATGTTAAATATATCAAGAAAAATAGTTTGAAATACCTGCGACGATGTCATGAAAACTTCAGTTTTGTAAACAGTTTTTATAGTGAATGAACTTCTTTAGTTCTGGGGATTAACTGGTCAGGTACACAGACAGTTGAGGAGTCCCATGCAAGGACGAAACAGCTGTCCAGTGTTCTTGGGTTTTCGATAGTTCTCCAACTGATATCAGTCCGTGGTGAATACTACCTCAATATTAAATCCCTATTAACCTGAAAATAAATCAAATATTCATCTTTAACCTTGGTCATAGGTGGAGTCATTAGTGTTTTATTTTTTCACTACTCACCTTTGTCAAAGGTCATTTTATTGACACTTAATTACTCTAGTGTTTGAAGAGATAATTTTTCTGTATTGAACTTGTCAGTTATTGGTCCAGTAAAATGACGATATAAACAGTCATATTTTCAGCTAGTTTTTGCCTTTTTCCGAAGCGATAAATCTTGAGTGACCAGTCTTGTTTTATGTGTTTATTAAGAGTGCGTAGACAGTATTCCAGTCGGTGATCGGTCTCCACTGTCATGCGTCGAGGCATTATGGATTTATCACAGCAATTCGTAATCCTCGATGACCTATCAGGTAGAAGAAATCCTCAATCGAGTATTATTCAATCACTATAGCAAAGACTTAGATATGATGAAATAAGCTGGTAGTTTATTCCATAGGGTAATGGTTAACACATGAAGATTTCAGTTATTCAAACCCTTTTTTATTGTGAATGAAGTTGAGTTCTGGGAATTAACTCATTGGGCAAACGAAATTGCAGAGTATGATTTCAATATATAGATGACACGTGTACGGTGTTGAAATTGGAGCACACATATGGTTTCTTCACACCTATTAATTCACTAGTCAACACAATCCCATTCGCTTATGAATTCGAAAATGGTGAAGGGGAAGTAGCAATGTTGAACTGCAGAATCAAAAGAAAATAAGGCAAAAGTTTTGAAACGACAGTCTATAGAAAACCTTCTCATTCGAATGGTTATTCGGACTTCAAATCAGCTCACCCTATCTCAGTCTAAGTAATAAGGCAAGTAAGCTTGCTATTAAGACGAAGAATCCGATAAAAGAAATGATCCATCAGGAATACCTTACGTCTCAGTAATTTACCCACCTAAATTTATCAATTAATTCATAAGAAAACTGTTAATAATAATGGTGTGAAAGGTAATAATAATAATAATAATAACGAAACTACTAGCCGTTTAGAAATGTATTGTCGTTACATGGATGACACCTTTATAGTTCTAAAAATGAGACTGATAAGAATGTTGTCCTCAATAAGTTCAGTAGCGTTTATCCAGGAATCAACTTCATAATGGAAGAAGAGAAAAATGATAGTTTCCCATTTCTTGATGTTCTGATGGTAAGAAGGTTAAATG